ATATGCGTGTGTGTATGTATATCAGAATCAGAATGTTATATTGCCATTGTCAATGAACAGGATTCACAGACTAGGAATTTGCTTCAGTGTAAAGAAGCAATACGTATCAAATATAACAAATGAAGAAAAAACAAAGGATTAAGGAAAATTATAATAAAATATATAAAACATATGTACACCAGTTCAATACAGTAATCAGAACAGACAATATATTTGGAGTAGTGCAGTTAGATCCAGTGATAAAAGTGACCAGATAGCAATATAGTCCGAGTTGTGTTGTTTAAGAAACCAGTGATAAAGTGGCAAAGTCAGAGATTTAGAGTCACATGTTCTAAATGTTCTAAATGTTCAAGAATCTGACGTTCCATATATATCATTGTCTATACGGAACATTATGTCCTTGTAACCTTCCAGCCTACTAAGAGGTAAAGGAAGGACAGTCTGCAGACATTTTGGAACTGATAACCTCTAATAACAGACATTTATTGGACTGACAGCCCGTGGTGAGCTGTCAATCATGATTCGGCACCACCTGTCATCTGAAACCCCGCCCCCCACGCTAAATCAGGGTCATAAGTCTGAAACTGAAAATAAAAAGTTTGAAACTGAAAAAAAAAATGAAACTGAAAAAAGTAGCTGAAACTAAAAAGACAAGATGTTTAAAACTTTTTCCAGATTCCAATACATTGTTTTTCCAGCACCTTAGATTTTTTTTTTTCCAAGATGGATGATGAGTATGGTCCTTAAAKAGTGGGAACACAGTCTGTCATTATCCTGTTAGGGACCACTTTCCAAGTTAGCCACTGCAAGGGTGTTGTCATGGTGTAGCAGACCAAATGTGACTATATCCCTCCATGCCAGAACATACCTATCTATATACCCATGCATACCCATAACCTGGCTTGAGGGGTTTGAAATGGCCTAAGCCAAGGTATGCCCGAGATAATAAATTGGCCTAGGTCCCAGTATACTCAGTGTATAAGCCAGCCTGGGCCCCTTCAACTACTGGTAAAATCTTGACTGGGGGTATACTATGGCCTCTTRCACCAAGCCTCCATGAAAAATTAAAGAGACATGTCAACCATGGCAACCCCACAGCTATCAGAATCTTCAAGATCTCAGGGCAAATCTTGTTCAGTCTTGGCGCCCTGCCACTGAGGAGCTTTTTAACTACCTCAGCAACATCTGCCATGGTAATGAAGTCGCCCTTCATGAGTTCCCAGCCTCTGCCTCCTCAAAGGTGGACATGGTGACCAGATTAATGAGGTCCTCCAAGTGTTTCTTTTGCCTTCCAACAACATCCCCAGTCCAGGTTAGCAGTTTTCAAATAACCAGGAACAGCAATCCAGCCATTTAAGGCTATTTGGTGTATTATCCCCATGTTTTAATTTACTAAAATGGCAATAATTGACRTAAACTTAGAGAATGAATTAGGCCACTATGAGAAATGGATCTTTTTGAATTTGTTTTATTTTATTTATTTTTTTATTCCTGACATTGCATCAGRTTAGTACAGAAAGTTAACAATTCTCAATTGTGTTCTAAGCACATCCCACAAACAAATAAACAAAATAAATTATACTGCAATCTTCTCCTTCTATTCAATTTCTACTCTGTAGGCTGTTGTCTTGGAACACGTATTTTCAGCAGCTGGCACTTTCAAAATATTGATTTTCATTTAGACAACTTAATGTTCCTCAATCATGAACATTCCATTCCCTCATTGTCTCCTGCCATCATACTTGTTCTTTTATGTTTTCTTTTCTCACCTCATAGAGATTATTTTCTTTTAATCAAACTTAAACAACGTCCAAAAAACAGCAAATAAATGGAAAGTGAGCACAGGGTTGATGAATCAGGTGAACTAAAACACACAGGCAAGTAGTGCAAATACATTTCCCACCAACAGTTTTCCTCTTCCAACCCTACATTTCATTACCTCTTCGTAGCTGGCCAGTCAAACAGGGATAAAAATTGCACCCCAAACATCATATGTTAGGGATGATTTGTTGAGCAGGAAGCTTGACAATTCAAAGACTTACACCACTCATGCTAGTGCYTGAAATCGGGCCTGTTATGGCGGCTGCACGTCCATAAAGATTGCTCATCTAGTGGAAAACAGCTACCTAGGCAGGAACAAAGAGCATGATGCAGAAAGTGTTGTAAATACTCAGGGAGATATATAGGACTGGATGACCTGGGGACTGTAGATTTATGATCACGATGAATCCAAGAAAATGGTCTCAGTGAAGGGTATTTTATAGGGTATACAGGGATTATTCTTGTTAAACCAAAGATCAACATGTCATGACCAMACATTATTTCACTTTGAAAATACAAACAGAAAACCACTCTTTCTTCTAAAAAGTGAAATGATAATCATAATCCACAAGTTCAGGAAGTAGACAGGAGGGATGTTTTTAAAATCACATTTGTAATATAATATGAATTGGAGAAAATCTCTAGGAAAAAAAAGAGTTAAGCAAAACAAAGAATGAACTACATTGAAGCAGGAGAAAAGAATTATTACAATTGTCACAGGGAGCCCATGTTCAAGAGTTATTGGACGGGTTGGTTGCTAATCCATTAAAGGAGCTTATCGGCTCCAAAACACCAATTAAACACAATTATTCAATGATGTAAGTTTGGGAATTTTGGGGTATTTTTATTAGTTTCTTCTGTGTATTTTTTCTCCTTCTGATTTCAATGAACTGCTTCAAATATCCATAATAAAAAATGTTAACAATTTGTTAATCTTTATGTACAAAACTATGTGATAGACCAGTGTTTTTCAACCCTGGTCCTCAAGGTACACTGCCCTGCATGTTTTAGATGTTTCCCTGCTTCAACACAGATAATTTCAATTGATTGYTGATTAACAAGATTTTGTTGAACTGCTGTCATCTGCATCAGGTGCGTTAACGCAGGGAAACTTCCAAAACATGCAGGGCAGTGTGCCTTGAGGAGCAGAATTGGGAAACACTGTGATAGACAATGAAGCTTTTTTTTTGACAATTATTTATTTCAGACATATATATTTTTAAATGATTATTATTTGAATTTGGAGAAAAATACAAAAAAAGTTGAAAGTTGCTTTTTTATTTTAATGTACCACAAGCCTGTGCTGATGTCACATTACCTAATTTTATTTCAATCACGTGTAGATTTTAGAATAAAATAATCAATGTTTTTAGGTGTTTTAATGTGTGATGGACTTGCGACCTGTCCAGGGTGTACCCCGCCCCCTGCACTGTGACTGCCGGACATGGGCACCAGTGACCCCCGAAACGCTGAAAGGAAGAAGCGGGTACAGATAATGGATGGATGTTTTTTGGTGATTGATTAAAGACTTTTAGATGATATAAAGTACAATCCAAGTTGTCCATTGTAAACATTACAGATTTATAACAGATTTGTTCATTACAACTAGTTTTTCACTGCTTCAGCTTGTCTTAAACAATTTGGAAGTTTTAGTGAAGGTGTTTTACCTAACCTAGACTAATTTGCAAGTAAAAATACAAATATTTAACCATGATTTATTTGTGAAAAGAAATTTTAAAATACATGTAATATTTTACACAATTACCATTGTATTTACCACATTCACTGAACATACAAGCATGGGCAATTCTATAAATTCTCAATTGCATGAAGTATGCCACAAATCACCTTTCTGAGCACTCCAAAGAATCCTGCTAGTTCACTTCTTTTACTTTGTAAAGTCCCATGCCCCACCAAACACCCCTTCCCCTAGCCGCTTTTCAGCCTGTCTCTTTCATCTTTCTTCCAGCTGTCCCCTGAGGTGAAGGACACTTGCAGATGAAAGAATGAAAAGAGACGAGTCAAAGTGAGGACAGCTCCTGCTACGTTCAGGCCACCGCACTACGCACTGGCTGACCGGCCACTACTTAGTAGGATCAAACTGCATGTGCGCGCACGCACACACACACCCACACACACACACACACACACACACACACACACAC